GCACACCCCAGTTCTCATTGTACCGGAGGTGACAATTCGCGTCCTCAGCGCTCCCGACAGCGCTCTGGTGGACGTCCTCAGTAGTTCAAGAGCCCAGATCGCCTCTGATGACGAAACCAAATTTTACTGGAGCAGTTAGGATCAGAACTGGCCCTCACATCTTTTTCATTTGTCACAAGAAGGGAAAGAATCTCAGGGATGGGAAAGAGGAAAGTTGCTCTCTAGAGATCAAGACAGGACATTCTATCTGGAAAACTTACAAATGAATGACTTTGTTTCCCAAGCCGATAAAGTGGATGAAAGAAATTCTGTGATTCTGAACATGAGGGTAATTAATTTACTAACTTTCTTCTTTCCTCCAGACGTTATTCTCTATATTCAGAAACGACATATGAATCTGGACCTCTTCCTTGCCCTTCATTAGATCATGAGATCCTTGAGAATATGCACTCGTTTTCCTTGTTCTGGAAACGCGGGTGGGTGCCAAATGAATTTTAAAATCTAAAATGTCCCGGGGTGCCTGGGTGGCGCAGTCGGTTAAGCGTCCGACTTCAGCCAGGTCACGATCTCGCGGTCCGTGAGTTCGAGCCCCGTGTCAGGCTCTGGGCTGATGATGGCTCAGAGCCTGGAGCCTGTTTCCGATTCTGTGTCTCCCTCTCTCTCTGCCCCTCCCCCGTTCATGCTCTGTCTCTCTCTGTCCCAAAAATAAATAAACATTGAAAAAAAAAATTTTTTAATCTAAAATGTCCAGAGACAGAAAGTCCAAAAGATGGTCCAGAAGTCTCGATGGAATCGGTTACTAAACGTATTCGCCCACTTGTCATTGTTTTCGAAAAGCCCAGGAGAACAGAGGAGATGCCAGGAAATTAGAAAAATGTAGCTATGATGCAAATCTTCAAAAGACTTATGTTGAGCAGTCCTTTCAAATTACTCTCCCTCACTGTCAGTTTTGAGGATTTGGGAATAATTGTATAAAGCTGAAATATAAAAAGAGAGAGACCCACAAAAAAAGTTTCACAAAGCAATTTGAACTGGAATATGTGCCTATAATAAACCAGGAGACTGGTCCACAGATGGTCACTGTACTTTGCTGAAACATGTTGCCTGCCAGGACCCCACACAACTTCATTTATCAAATTCCTTAAGCTTAAAAGAGCACTTGTGATGACTTCACTTTACCCTCGCCCTGAACACAGTGCAAAACATCAAGGGGGAAAAGCTGGGCCACATCTACCCGGAGGCAGCAATGACAGACAGTTTGGTGAGGTTTGATATCATTTTGAGTGATAAGGCGAGAGAAAGGCCAGAAGAGTCTGCAGTCTAGAAAAAGCTCCTGTACGTTCGGGAGTTTGGGAGACACCCAAAACACCGGCAAAGAGCTGAGAAGGGATGCCGACGGGAAGGAAGAAAATAAAGCCAGGGCCAAGAAAAAAAATTCAGACTGACTCATCAGGGAAAATAGATTCGGGTGTTCAGAGTCGAGAGTAATCCGGAAAACCACAGTGACATATGTGATGTCGTGGGGACAGTGACAGCAAATTAGATATGTAATCAGTGTGTCTCTCCCTCGAGCTGCCTGATGTACGCCTTGAAGTTCCGTCACCCAGAGGGCAATCCGGGGCCGTGTTATTTCAGGGTCAGTGTGTGAGGACACCAATGCATGACCTGTCCTCTTTACCGACCCTGCCATTCTTCCACTCTCTTTCTGGCAACCGGATCCAGACTCTTGGGTTCATTTTGGCCCAGACTGCAGCCCCCTCCTCCTCTTGAGAGCTCTCGGAAGACAGGGCTCCCCCTCGTCCTGCTGCTAGGGCATAGTGGGGCTCTGGGCCGCGATGGGGGTGTTGGCAAAGGTCCAGGAACTTTTCTTCCCGTTGCCCTTCTCCCGACCGCCGGAATAGAACCTTGAAAAAGCAGAACCACCTTCCCAATCATCTCCTTTCAGAAATTACATTCACGGCTGGGTTTGCCATTCAGTTTTGTACCAAGAACTTTATGAAGTGGGAATGGCTGGACTCATCTGGCAGGACTGTCCTCCGTCGACGGCCAGCTCCCAAATCCCTGAGGTGTGAGGGCTGGGTCCTCCCCGGCACGTTCTTTTCAAGAAACATCCCCACACTTGGCCTTTTACTCTAGCCGCCCCGTCCCTGCCCTCCCAGCGCCTGGAGCTTTCCACCTTGGCTCTGGCTCCTCCGAGCCTGGGCTCAGCCTTCCAGTTCCAGGTTGACCTTGGCTGAGAGCCCCACGTGGTCAGTCTTCTTGTAAATGTAGAAAATCTCAGGCACGGATTTCTGCACTTGGCCTCCCTGCAGAACTGTTTAGTACTCAAGCCATATGCAACCTCCAGCCGACACTGAGCAAAAGTGAGAGCACTTGCTTACCAGAAGTCTGTGTTTACGGAATTGGATTTAGCCTCTGTCGACCCCGCTGCTGAGTCCGCAGTGAGGAAAGCTCGGAGCTGGGCCGGGTCTCAGGTCTATCCTGGGCTTGTTTAGCACCTGTGGGCATGTCGGGCTCTCTCTCTCTCTCTCTCTCTCTCTCTCTGACATGCTCAGTACACCTTGGAGGACAAAAACCCTCACAGGATGTTCTTTACCATCATTGTATCCCTAGGCGTTTGACAGAAGACTACCGTAAGCTTCATTTTCCTCATCTGTGAAATGGACACAGTGATAGTACCTACCACCTAGGAAGGTGGTAAAGATTCAGTGAGATAACTATTTAGCTCAGTGTTTGGCCATTTGAAAATTATTGATTATCAGTGGATCCGGACAAATCAGATAACCCTGAGGAGGAACGCGGTGTGAGGGCAAATTCGAGAAACGGTCAAGCTGGGAATCTTTGGGCTTCTCGTTTCTTCCTTGGTTTTTAACCTTACGGTAAAATCCTCCCATGACTCACGGGGCAGCAGGTTCTGCCTCACGGTCAGAGACAAGAGGGCTGGGGACTTAGATACACCTCCAGTCTTTAGCATCTGACAAACCTGTGGTTGAAGAGAGCTCTGCCCTTTCTAGCTGTGGGACCCCAAAATCTTTGAGCCCCAGTTTCCTTGTTGGCAAAATAAGGACCACACTTCCTACCGTATGAGGGAGTTGGGATGATTAAATGCCTCCAATGCTTGATAAACGCTTGACAATCCTTGTTTTGACTTCTGGTACCAGCATGCTCCTTGGTCCCGACCAAGATGTCCCCGGGCCCTGGCTTTTCATAACCTTCCAACAAATGGAGTGAATTATGTGATCTTGCTCTAGTCACACAGATCTAGTCACTGGAGATCACTGGATCTCCAGTCCAACGTATTTGGCTTCCCAGCTTTTCTTTCTTATCCGGTCCATCCTTTACTTGTGGCTACCCCTGGTTAAGTGTGACATGTTACGTATTTACAAGTTAAAGAGTCTAGGCCCATTTCATTAAGATTCTTCCTTGACATTTTCTTGGACAAATTCACCATTCTTTGATTCCTTGGGCACGCTCATCACTCGTGTCAGGGATGACACATGTATATTGTGCATACTGCCTAGACATCACCAGATATCACTAATGGATCCCACCATGTTTTCCGTGAGCTGGGCCAGAGTCTCAGTCACTTGGCGGACGTCAGGCCATCTCTCTACACGTTTTATGTGTTCCCTCTCTTGGACTCATGAGCATGTTAGTATGATCCTTGTTTGTAGTCATCTGTGCTTCTCCTGTCTACTCCATTAGACTGAATATACATATGTTACTTTTGAGGGTTCTCCTACTGGCCATTAGTCTAACTCCATAAACACACGGCCGGTAGCCCTTGCCTTTCAGCTATAACTAGGGGCTGTCACTGTAGGTTATGCAATAAAACAAAACTATGTTTTACTATGCTTTTCCTTTTTCTAGTTAATCATAATAATTTCCTGTGACATTTAATAAGAATTCCTTAAAAATGAGATATTTAGTGACAGCGCATATAATCTGTCAAATCGATACACTTCTGTTTACTTAACAGGTTCCCTGGTGTTGGACCTGATGCTCAGCAGCTATTGGTATCTGACTATAATAAATCACCCTGTGATGCGTCTCTTTGTATCTACGTGTGTGTCTACATCTCCAGTTAGCTTCCTAGGGTGGGATTTCTAGAAATCGGAATCGTTGTGTCCAACGGAAGAACAACTTTAAAGTTCTTGTCGGGGCGCCTGGGTGGCTCAGTCGGTTAAGCGTCCCACTTCAGCTCAGGTCACCATCTCGCGGTCCGTGAGTTCGAGCCCCGCATCGGGCTCCGTGCTGACAGCTCAGAGCCTGGAGCCTGTTTCCGATTCTGTGTCCCCTCTCTCTCTGCCCCTCCCCCGTTCATGCTCTGTCTCTCTCTGTCCCAAAAATAAATAAACGTTAAAATAAAATAAAATAAAATAAAATAAAATAAAATAAAATAAAGTTCTTGATACTATTGCCGTGTTGTTTCCTGGTAATTATTTCTTATTTGCACCCCCCTCAGTAGTACAACATAATAATATTAATTGTCACCATTCCTTGTGGATTCCTTGTTTCTGCGCCAGGCACAGTTCTAAGAACTTGACGTACATTAGCTCATTTCATCCTCCCCAGACCCTTCTTTTATTGCTGAGGAAACCAAAGCACACGGTGGGTAACTAAATTGACCAAAACCATGCCACAGACACTAGGCGAATCCTGGATCTGAATCCATTCACCTACCCTGCTCCCCTAAAATACTTTGCTGTGGCTTCAATAACTTGGAATACAATTGGAATTTTTGAGTTAAGCAAGGTTCAAAGAACATCTATTTCTGCTGGCATGACCTAAGTGCAGTCTTACCCAGAAGCAGAAGGCCCAGCTGAGGTTGTTCAGTCCTTTTAGCAAGACGAAGTCTTACCAAAAACTCAGGGTATTTGGTGCGGGTAACTGAAATATTTCTTATAACTTTACATATGGGAGGGGATAAAGCATCGTTATTAAAAACAACAAAAGTATTTCTCCAAAACAAGTTTCTCTCTTTCTCAGGAAAACCTATCTGTGGTCTGAGGTGGCTGCTGTTGGCCTGAGACAGAATCCATATGCCCAGGTTTTAGACTTCAGGAGCGCAGGTAAGCAAGAGTCGGTGTTTTCTAAACTCTGAACTGGGAAGCAGACCTAAGAACTGCTCCTGATAAAGGAGGAGTTAATGCAAAGCAGCCCCAAATGTGCCAGCTGGACCACAATACTACTTTAATGTTAACAATGCAAACAATGATTCTAGGTCTTTCTCCTTAAATTCAAACTAATGTTAATGCTAGCTTAAACATGATCAGGAAGTGTCCATTTTAGAATTTATTTCTCCCTCTTCCTGAAGTCCAAAGTTTAAAATCCCAAGTCATAAGGGTTCCTGACCAGTAAAGGGATATTTTTTTTCTTCTCCTTCTTTTGTGTCTCAGGCAAATGGTTGGCTTCCTTTAATCTTTTTTTCTTGTGATTTCTCAAAATAGGTATGACTGGGGGAGGGGGGGCAGGTTTCCAGATTTAGCAAGTAAAAATACAGGATACCCAGTTAAATTTCAGATGAACAATGAATAATTTTTTAGTGTAAGTATGTCCCATGCAATATTTAGGGTACGCTGATACTAAAAATTACTAGTTGTTTATCTGAAACTCACATTTAACTGGGATTTTATATTTTACTAGAATCACACTGGGGGAGATAGGTGAGGAAGGCTAAGAAAGTCCAGGGCAGAACGAGGAGGAAAGGACTTAAAAAAAAATTTTTTTTTTGTTCCTTTCAGGTTGGAAAAAGAAACATGAGCAGTGTCTGCTATTGCTGTTCATTGCTGTGATCCCTCAGGGTTCTGGAATTGTCTGCTTCCTGAAGAGCCTGCCGCTCACTGGCTCAAGCTGTCCCGATGCCCAAGGGGATGTCCCAGGTTTGCAGATGTGCTCTTCCAGCATCTTCCCTGGAAATCACAGAACTTCAGGTAAACAGTGACGTTTGTATTATCTCAGTTTCCAAGTATCGTTTTGATTTGGAGGGTCCCTTTTGCAGAGAAAGGCTCCCAAAGCTGGCATTTCCCAGTAGCAACAGAAAGGCTTTTAAGTAATTTATGAAAAGACAGTGAAAATTGCAGCCACTTCACTTGTGGTGTATATGGCGGTGGCGTTGCGGTTGTGTGGTGGGGGTGTGGGGAGTGAATGAAAGGCAAGGTGGAAGAAGGGATAATTAAAAGCCATGTGAAAATGGTCACAACCTTCCACGCCCTGTCTACTTCACTCCCTTGCCCCACCTCTGCCTGTCTCCGTCTTCACCTGCCCTCTCTGGAGATGGGCCCATTCCGAGTTTCTGAGACTCACAAAGGTGCAATTCTGACATTGGACCTTGACCAAAAAAAAGTTTAAGCACCTCAGGGGACCCCGTGTAGACATCTCCTGGGACCTCTCCACAGCTCCTATGCTGAGGGCCTGCCTTTCTTCAGTCTTCTCTGGGGGTAACGCACAGAGGACAGAGATGCCACGGTGCTTAACTCAGTGGCCTGGCACTCGGGTTTTGCATCAAAGAATTGAGATGAAGAAGATTTAGAAATGACCTGGGTGCTAACTCTCCCTCTACGTAGAAAATCTTGGCTTTTCCTTATGGCAGCAGAATTCAAACACAGACCTCAAAAGTGATTAAGATACAAAATAGTTCCATAAAGACAATGCTGTTTATTTTTATCGAGGGGGTTAAATGATTCGCCCCTATTTTTTGTTGGCAGGTTAGTGGTTGAGGGAGGAAAGCAATCAAGCCCTGTTTGGTCATAAGAGGGAAGGGCTTTTCTCTCTCTTTTTAAAAACTTTTATTTTCAAGTTATTCATTTAATTACAATTAAAATGCATTCGTAGCTGCAAAAAATAAATGTGCTATTTATAGGAAAAAATTTAAATGCAAAAGAATGAGAAAGGTGAAAAAGAAAGAGCTAGTACAAACCCATGCCCTACAGATAACCGCTATGAACATTTTTCTCTTTCCAGTCTTGGCTTTGTGTGCATATATTTACATAATTGGGATCATACTAATTATATAGCTTTATATATTTTATTAACACCTTCTGGGCATTTCTCCATGCCATCAGATGTTTTTCCACGGTAGTGACTGAACAATACCCCGCTATTTGGGTATGTCAAGGCTCACTGGATCATGCCCCCATCGATAAACTCTTACGTTGCTCCCGGGTTTTCTCTCTAACAAATAAAGCTTGCTTTCTTCTTCTTTTATATCAGTCTGTGCTTTTCTGATTATTACTAAGGAGGCATCCCTAGACATATGATGGCGGCCATGCCAGATTCTTTCATGAAGCGGCATTCCTCCCTCTGGCCTTTTTGTTTTCCGAAAACTCTGTGGATGGGCCCTCTTTTCCGCGTGCTTAGTAGAATAGAAGACACGGCTTCTCGTGGATTTCTGGATTTTCTTTATTTTCAAGAGGACATGCTGTTTCAAGCATGCTTGGGTTTCCTGTATCTTGGGATCCTGGTAATCGAGCCCGATTACCATGACTCCCAACATCTCCCTGGCGCATAAGTTCTTGAGTTCAACCCAGGCAACAGGAACAAATGTTTTTTTGCCCCCATGGCCTCCCAACCTTGGCAGCCTGCCCCCTTCCCCATCCTGATGCATCAAACTGGACGGTGAGAATGGGGACTCTATTAGCTCAGAGGTCATGAGTGGTGAATCTAAGGGCTGACGGTGGGAACTCCAATGGCAGCAGAGGCAGTGGGAGGTGAGGACGGATGAGGAGAATTCTGTGGAAGTGAGTGCCCTGCTCAGCCCTTGTCTTCTGCTCCCCTTTCTCCTCTGGACCACAAGGAATGAATGGCCTTCTCCTCTTCATGCTGCCCCTACCTGTTGATTCAGACGGATCCTCACTCCACTCTGAGATGAGGAGAAACGGAAGCCAGCCTTACGCTTTACTCTCCCCTCCCTGAGGAGACAGACTGTACTCATTGTTGAGGTTGTATAAGGGTTTGTACCTCTAACAAAGACATGAAACAGACAAGCCATAAGAAGCCTTCGTCCTCAACCCCACTGACTCGTCTTTTCCGCTTAGACCCCCTCAGGAAGGAGAAAAGCTAGCTGAGGAGTAATAGTGGGGTTTTGGAGACGTGAAGGCTTGAGGTTGCATGCGGTGCTGTTTAGGGGGCCTTTCCTCCCAGAAGTGGAAAACCCAGACTTGATTGTCTCCCGGGCCTTTGCTCACCGGAGCGGATGGGAGTGAAGGGGTGAGGAGGGAGAGAAGCTGAGGCAGGGGTATGTTCATGGGCTGGTGTTAGGGATGACCCTTTCTAGCGCTTTCCCGCTTTCCCTTCCCCTTTGCTGCTAGTCCTGCCCCCTAGTGGGTGTAGGCTGAAGGGGCAGGGCTCCCAGACAAGGCACAGTGTGCCCCAGGGAGAGGGCCACACAAGGACAGGAGAAGCGATGGAAATTTCAGACGCTAGCAATCTGGGAGGAGAGAGAGAGTTCCTTCTAGAACTCAGCGGGGGAGACAGAGGAACTTGATGATCATTGCAGTTATTGCATATATTGCATAAGGGATAGGTGGAAGATTGGCCTGGCTGCCTCGGTGACTAAAAATATCGGTCACTGCCTGGACATGCATTGCTCACAGACTTGGGTGAGAACGAGAAGGGGAGGACGATGTTGAAAATAAGGACGAGGATGGCTGCCTCCTTGAGTTTTCTGAGCGCCAGGCAGCCAGCCAGCTGGATCCACGAGAGGCTTCCCCTGCCAGCCTCTTCGCCGCTCTGGGTGGTGGACGTTGTTGTTGTTACTTTCCAGATGAGACAGTTGAGGCTCAGGGATCCAAACGAGCTTGCCTAAGGCCATGGGCTAGTCAGTGCAAGGACAGACCCCACCTCCCCCAGACTGACTCAAAGACGCACGCAGTGTCCTGCTACCTCATTCAACAGCCCCTCACGATGCACCAACGGTAAGCCGGCTTCAGCAGGGGTGTACAAAAACGAGGATGACACCACCGTTACTTTTCATAAGCTTATAGTCCAGAGACGCGCCCAGAGGTCCTCACGTCTATTTCTTCATTGCATGAAGCCCATACCATTTGGCACCAAAGCCCCTTCTGAGGATTGGAGAGACTTGTCATTTGTTTTTCCCAGCTGGGCCACTGTCTTCTCGAAGGAGGCGCGGAGTCCTATCACCCGGCCAGTGGCCTTATCTCCTTCCCTGAGGGCAGGACGAAAACACAGGCAAGAACCCAGGGACCTGCCATGTGCACTGAAGTGCAAGTCTCCGTCTGGTTCTCTGCGAATGTAGAGCTTTGAATCCAATGTAAAATTCGATCAAAACTCGGTGAGTTTTGCCCTCCTGCTTCCTGTTAGTACCAAGGGCAGGAGCGACATCAGGCTTGGCCTATGATTTCTCTTCTTTGGATATCAACCCAAAGAATTTCACAGCCTCACTGCACTGCCTAACTCTCTCCCGGACACAGCGCATCTTTCTCCACCTGTTTTCCCTTCTCAAGCTTCTGCACCTGGATCATCTTGCAGACGGAGGGAGGTCGACGCAGGTTACCATTTCTCTGTCTCAGCTGTTCTGCGGGTCACCTCCCAGCAGCCCTCACGGGGGGAGGACCGTGGCTGTCTCGCTTGCTTTCCGCGGCATTTCCAACTGCCTTTAAGGTTTTATCATTGACACTTTTGAATAGCACTGTCATTTTGTTGTCCCATTCTGGATGCCGTCATCTGTATTCTGATTTCATCTCACCTCGAGACCAGGTTGTCCAAGCCTTATTTACTTATTTATTTATTTTTCCTCTTTTGACTTGAGACAGCTTTTCGTTTGCTCTTCACATCAGTGGGTATCTGGGATGCTGCGGCTTTAACTTTGAAACATGGTCACGTGCAGCCGGGGTGCTTTTACCGTGGGTCTCATAGGCTAGTGGAGTGGGGGCTGGGATCTGGAAGAAGATCCCCAGGACAAAGACGGCCTTGTCATTGGTTATGAGCAAGTGCAAGTCTGTGCTTCGGAGCTGGGGAAGACAGGTTTGAGAAGACTTAGGGAAGGAGATTCCTCCCGTCAGTGTGGACTCTATCCCAGATGCCAGGGAAAGTCTCTGGGAATTCCCTAGGATCTGTGCTCAGCTTGAGAGGCTTCCAAGAGACATTATCTCAGTACATTCCATTTTAATAAAGAACATGGAAGAAGACGGCATCTGGGAAGCATGTGCAGCCTACAGAACTGATATAGGTAAAAAGAATTCTTTTTGCCTGTGGTAAATCCGCAACTGCTTGGTCAACATGGATTTCTTGCCACTAAATCTTCAGGGGAAGAGCCTCAAAGGGAAGAGCCTCAAAGGGAGAGGTAAGGATCCCGCCCCTATGCTGGTTCACAGGAGCAGGGCTGGTACGCTATTGGAAGGGTCCACCTCATAGAGGAATTCTTACCCGTGCTCTGATCTCCCACTGGGTGTGGTGGTCCGGGGGCGTCATCCCGGTTGGTCCAAGGACGAATGTCCTCCGGGCATCGGAAACAGCCATGCTGCGTCCGAGGCCCCCCACACATCTTGTACTCTACAGTTTTTGTCACATGAGGACATGATTGCCTTCAAAGATCTCCTTAGAACTTTGGGACACACTTCAAGCCCTAAAAACAAGAACTTTATTACTAAACCTGTTACCTATCTGCGTCTCTATTTGGACAAGATATATTATTGTTCCCCTCCCCCGGCCCAGCTCCTTCCCAAAACAAAGGTGATAACCATCTGCTTTGTTTGATGAAGCACATCATGTGTTATTCTAGCTGCAGAGAAAGTCCCTTTCTTACTGGGAAGCCTGCGTGGTGGTTTGAAAGGTCAGAGACTTAAATTTTTGTCTTTTTTTTTTTTTTTTTTTAACCGAGAAGATGTATATCCTGGCTGAGTCTCTGACTTCATCTGAGTTTTTTATTTGTCCTCACGACAAATCATTGGGATGGACCCAATGATTCCTTTACAAGATCTGTTTTCCATCCTGAATGCCAAAGCTGCTTCTCTGAATAGTATCTGCAAAGATATTCCCTGGCTTACTTAGAGTTCCTTTCCCCTTGGAGATACTGAATATGCTTCCAACGGTGGTAAGACTTTAGTGTATGCATAGTCCCTTCTTTATGATGCTTCATCCAGGTGACAACCAGCTAATACCAGACCGGCCGACGACTTCTTAAACCATGTAATATATGTCTAGGGTTTTGCTTTTTAAAAAAATTTTTTTAATGTTTATTTATTTTTGAGACAGAGGGAGACAGAGCACGAGTGGGGGAGGGGCAGAGAGAGAGGGAGACACAGAATCCCAAGCAGGCTCCAGGCTCTGAGCTGTCAGCACAGAGCCCGATGCGGGGCTCGAATCCACGAACTGTGAGATCATGACCTGAGCCGAAGTCGGACGCTTAACTGACTGAGCCACCCAGGCGCACCCTGTAGGGTTTTGTTTTTTAAATGAACTCCAACATCATAATAACTAATGTTACTGAGTATGTGCTATATTCTAGTTATTCTTCTAAGCCTTCAGATGTAAAATCACTTTTGATTTAATCCTTACAAATAGCCTAGGAGGTACATTCTATTATTTATGCCCGTTTTACAGGTGAGCAAGCCAACACACAAAGCTGATTAAATACTTTGCCCAAGGTCATGTAACAACACGGTAGAACCGGATTCCACCGGGGCTAACACTTGAGTCTGTGCTCTTGCCCGCCAGCTGAATCTGGATTCACGCAAATGTTGTTTGATTTTGTTTTGTTTTCCCCACAGCCTCGATTATTTTAGGATCTGTTTTCAAGCACAATACATTTCTCAAGTGCTAGAGGCTAGCACTTACATGTCTTCAGGATAGGATTTGACTCTAGGGATATGCAAATCTGTGTAACACCAAACTGTACATGCCAGAGCTTAGAATGAATAAATTGGACATTTGAGATTTCCGGAGACAACCAGAGATAGAGATTATGGCCACTACCGTGGGTATTGATTTGAAAGCCTGACTCAGGTTGCAGAAGGCCCTGGTCTTTTCCCAGAGCCCCTGCCCTTAGCCTCCTGCTTCGGGCCTTAAAAAGACACTGAGCGTCGCTTGTCTTCCTGAATGAGAAATATTGCCTGTGGTTACTCTGAGGGAGACCAACTGGTACATGTCCTATGGCAATGACAGGACGCGGCTCCAGCTGGAGTCTCTCTTCCCACTGCTGTACTCAGCTCGTCCTGGTTTCGCCAAAGACAAAAACCTCCCTCCCAAAGGCTTGTCCTTGAGCTGGGGGACGACACCTCATGTTAAACACGGCCCATGGCACCTAGCATTTTGCCTGGCACATGATAAGGGCTCCTAAATATTTGTTACTGCCTGCCAAAAGAGATCAATTCAGCCGTGATTTTTCACTTCTCCAAAAGATTCGCTGCAGGGTTCCTTTAAATGGCCAGCTCCCCTAGTGCATTTAAAATGTGACTTGATTTATAGGAATTCAACATACAAGGCCCCGCGAGGCCACATCAATCGTGTAAACTGAGATGCATGTGCTGCTGGGTTCCCACTGACCGAGCGTGTTGGCAGCTCCCTCCACCAGCCTGGAATGCACACAAACCCCGGGGCTGCGCTCCCTCCTTTTATCACAAAGGAGCTCATTTTGTGAATGAACAGCCGCCGCCAGCAGCACGTTGGTATTCCCAGTGACCTTTGCCCGGGGATTGGATTCCCGCCCAGCAGGGAGACCGGGGCCCTAGGAAAAGGTGAGTTCCTTGATTGCCACAGCCTGCTGGGCTGAGGTCTGCGGAGGAAGGGGCTCGGGGAGCCTTTCCCTTTCCGTGAATCGCCTCCGAGAAGCTTCCCCTCCCGCCCGCGTCGCCCCGTCTTCTTTGTACGGGCTTGTTGGATTCCGTTCAGCAGGGAAGGCTCACTGCTTCTGCCGCTCGGCTCCTGCGGTTCTTTCTTCTGCTTCTTCTTTTGTTTTTTTAAGCTGTGAATAATAACCAGTCTAGCTTTGCCTTGCCTTTCCCGACCGTGATTCTGGGATCCTTGCGAGCTTCCGCCCCTTCCCCTCCTCCCCGCCCACCCCCTCCCCTCCTCCTCCTCCTCCTCCTCCTCCTCCTCACCACGGCTTTTTCAGTTTGATGTTTTTAGGTATCAAAGGAAGGTCTCCAGGAACCCTGCAACTAAAGACTTTAATGAGGACCATGCCCCAGAAATCCCGGCTGCCAAAGACATGATGATGATTTATGTCGCTCACTCACTCCCTAACAGCAAGAGGACTATTTGTAAAAATAAAAAAGCTGCTCATATGGAATTAAACAAGAGCATAGCTGCTTCCTTCCAGACCCTGGGAGCTTAACAAAGAGCATCCACACTCCGCGGCCAGCAGCACATGGCCCAGGGCCGGCCGTCTTCCTGTCACACAGCGCTCAGACAGCCGCGCACGCTCCCTGTCGGCGGACCCCAACAGGCACATGCCCAGGGAAGCACAAACTCGGGTCGGACACAAAAGGGTCTACACTGACCTCAGGCCTCAGCTGAGCCACCGAAGGGCTCTGAGCATCAAGAGGTGGGCAGAGGCACAGGCCGCTGCCGTGGTCGCCCCGAGGGCCTGGCCGCAAGATGGTTAGCGCCCCTCTTTGTTCTTGGTGTCGGACCGCTGAGCGACCCATGGGTGCCACCTGGGTTCTGGCCAGCTCGCCAAAGGGGGAAGAGATACATTCTTATGCCTCCCTTTCCTCATGTTAGCTGAGGCCACCGCAGAGTGTTGATAGCAGTAAGGAGACGAAGCGTAGGACACGTGGAACGCAACGCTGACACCTGCTGATGATTATTATCCATCTGTATTGCGGCTGCCACCAATGGGGCCGCTCAGACCTCCTGCTGCAGTGACAGTACTTGACCGAGGGACTGGTCTATGTTCTTGCAGGTCACGATCGGTCAGGTGCACCACAAAAGAGACCCCAGGGGAGACACAAGAAAACAGTGTGTTATACTCACGGGACCTAGACAGGGGGTTACCGTAGGGCATGCAAGGCCACGGTGGGGGGTGGGGGAAGACCTCGGTTCTGGTCAAGTGACAGAAGACAGGAAAGCCTACACCATGACCTTCGTTGGGGTTTCTGCAATCAAGGCAGGGCAGAGGAAACAGTTTAGGATTTTGACTAGTAAGAATAATTTCGGTGGATTCTGGGCCGTAGCGTGGGCTCTAATTGCCTCTGACCTGGTCCTGGCATAATTAAGGCAGGGGATTATTGCCTCCTGGGCCGTTCAGGCCAGAGAAAGAGCTTCGTGCTCTGGATTGGTTAGCTTGCACATCGGAGGCGTGCTCCTGGCTGAGGTCTTTGTTATCCCAGAACTGGCCAGCCCCTGCAGGAGCACTCCCTCTCCAGCCAGAAAAGGTTTTTTTAAAATGTCAAAACGTTATAAAATACGCAAAATAAAAAAAAAACTATGTACAGAGATTGGATTTGTGGCTACCAGAGGCAGGAGTTGGAGGGCAGAGGAATTGGAGGAAGGTGGTCCTAAAATAAATAAGTAATGAAGTAAGTAAATAAGTAAATAGCGTGTGTGCACAATACATGGCCCCAGCCGCTGTGCTCTAAATCCAAGTTTGCACCGTGCTCGCCCCAAGGCCACACTTCCTGCTGGCCGCTCTAAGTCGTTGATGCAGAAGAGGCAGGGATGCCCACGTGTGCTCATTCTCGAGAAGACCTGGGACTTCTCGTTGGCGACTTCTGCTCAAGGACACCCCCAGGCGTTTAGCGTGGATCCGTTTCTGGGAACTGAACTGATGCCCGAGACTCTCCTACCCCATCTCCTCCACGGGGGTCAGAACCACACTGGGTCTGAAGGCTCTCTCCCTGCCTTTTCTGCTTACCACCCCCTACCCCACAGCCCATTTTCTCCTACAGACAATTCCCCTCAAATAACAGCAGTCATTCGCTATGTGTCTAAATCCCTGTTTTGGTGTCTGCTTTGGGGGACCTGACCTGACACATATACTAAGTAGGCTTTTATTCTGTGTTATATAGTATCAGCAACTTTTCTGATGTACAGACGCGTGTTGGCTCTTTTACTTAGTCACTCAACCTTGAATAAAAACATTGACTAGGTATGCCGTGAGTGATGCTGAAGAGACAGAGATGTTATAGATTGAATGTTTGTTTATGCCCCATTCGCCCTCCCAAGTCTCTATGTTGAAATCTAACCCCTGATGTGATGGTGTTAGGGAAAAATCTGTTATTAGATGACCGACAGGACTGATGAGGGAATTCCAGTCCTTGCCAGAAGGCTCCCCTTCCGGGATTTCCTTCCTACCCACCTGCGCAGGTGCCAAATTACTATTAATGAGGGAGGCGGAAGTAACAGACTATAAATTGTCCCCTCTGTTGCCGCTCTGGGCTCAGATCTCTGGAGAATGGTCTCCTCTGGGCCCAGCGGGGTAAAATAAACCTCCTTCCTTCCAAGATCTCTGAGTGCCGCTTGGTTCTTCTGCGGGGTGATCCAGCTGGGTTTTCCGTAACGATGGTATGTGGAGGGTGGAGCCCTCCCGAAAGGAATTAATGCGCTTACACAAGAGACCTTAGAAAGCTGCCTTGCTCCTTCTGCCATGTGAGGACACAGTCACAAGATGGCCGCCTGTGAACCAGGAAGTGGGTCCTTACCAGAGCCCTGAATCTGCTGACATCGTGATCTTGGACTTCTCAACCTCTAGAACTGCAAGAAATAAATTTCTGTCGTTTGTGAGCCAGCCGGTGTGCAGACTTTTGTTATAGCAGCCTGAATGGACTAGATACTCTCATTGATGGGCTGGCGAGTTGGGGTGCATTGATAGATATGTACACAAACAATCAGAATGATATGGTTAATATTCAAATTAAGGAGTGTAAGCGGTCACAGGAGGAAGTGTTTCACTTTGCCAGGGGTGGGGGGGGTGGTGGTGGAGATGGACAAGAAAGGCTTCACGAAAGAAGGATACCGGAATTTTGGCAGAAGATATCCCACCCTCTCACATCCTATCTTCAGTATGACCCAAGCGATAAATAAAAAGGAAGAACAGGAGCCCGTAAGAGATTTAACGTCATATAATTTGATGGGCTTCCCCCCCCCCTCTTTCGCTGCCTTTTACAACAGCCGTAAAGTAGCAGTAATCATCCGCCACAGATTTGAGACATATTCCGCGTCGCCAAATTGAAAGAAGCACAAATGTCATGAACTCGTCCCTGTTGGAAGACAACTGTCGTAGAAGCAAGTTAGTTCGAGAGGCCGCCGTGGCGCAGCTGCGAGGACGCGAGATGCGTACTATGGAGGCTTTCCTGGTACTCGGCTGGGCTCAGCCTGACCCTAGATCCAGCTTTCATAATCAAGTGGGATCTACTCTAGGCTGCATTGTGTCTCCTCCCAAAATTCATAGGTTGAATTCCTAACCCTCAAGTACCTCAGAATGTGACTGTATTTGGTCTTAAATGGGGGTAATCAAGTTAGAGTGAAGTCATTAAGGTAGGCCCTCATCCAGTATAACTGGTCCCCTTATAAGAAGAGGAAATTCGGAGATAGAGATGCACAGAGAGAGATCATGTGAACAGACACCGAGGGAAGATGTTCAGCTACAAGCCAGAGAGCGAAAGGCCTGGAGCGGATCCTTCCCTCATGGCCCTCAGAAGGAACTAACCTTGGCAACACCCTGATCTTGGATGTCCAGCCCCCCGAATTATGAGACAATAAAATCTTTGTTGCTTAAGCCTCCCGGTCTGTGGTACTTTGTATTGTAGCCCAAGCAGACTACTATAAGACTTCTTTTTCTCCCCTTCCTTGGAGATAGGATCTGGCCCCATTCTGCTCTCAACCTTAACGGTGTGGTGAGCAGGTAGAGATGGTATTTGGGGATTAACCTTTGACCATGGGAGAGATGGCAGGGAAAGTGAGGCCTGAGGAAAAGCAGAAAGCCAGGCTTACCACAATGAGCACTTGGTCATGCAGAATGAGGAAGAATTGACCGAAGAACACAGCTCTCAGAAGCTTCAAAGGCAGAAAATGGGAAAGACACACTCTTGGCCTTTGGATTTGAAGGCACCGATGCTATTGGGAAGCAAGATAAATTATTTCGCCGGACTAAAAATAGAGCAGGCCCGTCCGATCACAGTCAGGGTAGATCGATCGCACTGCAGTCCAAAAGGAAGAAAAATGAGGCGAGAAGAAGGACATGCCTGGGGACTAGAACCTAAATAGCAACTCATATGAAGCCTTGCTTTGGCCCCTGAGAGACATGAAATGAGAATTCCTGAGAAAAGGCCGAGTGATACCTCAAACTCACAGCTGACATTGTTGGAAAGGAAGGCTTCATTGGCCCTGGGTCAGAACCAAGAAACGTGAGCAGTTTTAACTTGGAGGGTGTGATGTGACGATCCAGTCACTTTCCTGGGGACAAATGAAGTCAGTCTGTGACAGATACTACATTATAGCAAATTGTGTCCGTTGGGGAGCTCACCAATACCCTAGGCAGGGGCTGCAATATCTTAATGCCCAAATCATCTCCCTAACGCAAAACATTTCATGAAATTGCGTTATTTACCCTGGTGTTTTTTGACATACTGAGGGGCAGTTTCCTGCTAAAGCACTTTTTTTTTTTTTTCATTTTTATGTAAACAACAGAAATGTGTGGGGTTTCTGAGGATAAATCTCCCCACCCAAACATACACCTTTCATGGATGTACCTCTTTTTAATGTCTCCGAGGTGAGACCACATTGCCCAGTGTACCTAACATGACTTTAGGCCTCTCTCTTTCAACTTGACTTGTGGAGCTCCACCCACCCTCTCCCCCCCCCCCGCCCCCCCCCCAGCTCACCCCCATCATATGCCCAGCACTTTACAGGGGTAGGACAAGTAGCAAACCATGAAAAATAAGAGAGAACTAGGGTTTAAATTATACAATAAGTATTTCCACCCTCACCCACAACAAGTCGCCTTGCCCCACGCTTAGGGAAACAACTCAGAGCCAATCCACATGAGTTGCACCTCAGAGGAGGGCAAAGGGCACCCTGGGGTCTATAGGAGGGGCAGTGGGAGAAGCTACAGCTAAGAAGAGAGGACCCTGGGGGACAGTTGCAGCCACATAAGGGATAGTCACCACTCAGGAGAATTCACTGATTTACTGGGCACCTAATCCACACTAAGAGGATGAGGCTCTGGGAAGAAGGGCCGAAGCATCAGCCTTTAAATGTTACTTGTCATCTGAGTACTTGAAGGACTGCCCTGCCCATGAGTACTAGCCAGGGGCAACCCCATTCTTTTTCTTCTCTCTCTTCTCCTAACCATGTCTTTCCCTCTCATCCTTAGGAATACCATTAGATAGCAAAAACCCTAATTTGTATTTCCATTCCTCTTTCTAGAGCACAGAAATGGACATCTCCATTTGGCTACCTCCCTGGCATTTTAGAATCATCATCTTCCTACAGCCATCTCTTCTCCCCTCTTCCCCATGAACGGACAAAACCCCAAAGCAGCTCCTTGACTCAGCATTATTCTTCCCTTGTGGGGGTCAAAGATTCCCTCTCCTTTGACTCCTCTCTCTTCCTCCTAGTCCAGCCAACTACCATGTTGTTTTCGACTACCTGTACCAAGTGTGTGGAAGATGCCCTTTCTCCCCTGTCCAGTCACGGCCGGCACTGCCCCTTCCACCCCTCAGATGCTTCACTGCAGCCGCCCCTAACTGGTCTTCTTGCCGTCCTTCAGACCGTTCCTCTATTCTTTAAACTTTCCTCCATTATCCCCACTGGTGAAATTTTCTTTGAAAGGGCAGCCCAAATGCCACCATTTCCTCCATGAATCATCCAAAATATGCCCAGTGAGACACAGGCTCTTCCTCTTCTGACATCACACAACCAAAATTTATCTTCACTTGTGTCCATGAAGAAGATACATCCCAGATGTTTATATTATGTCCTCTGTGCTCCGTAGAAATCTGTCCAATGTGATCAACTTCCCTATCCACTTGGATAACACATCCACACCTCAGGTTAACATGCCCAAAGAGA